CCTTGAGACTTTTTTCCTGGGTTGCTATTGAACTGTCGACGTTCGCCGGCTGTTTTTGAATGCTCGGGTTTCCTTGCCCACTGATTCGCTTTACTTCCGTAGCCGTGTGCTTGAGTTTGCTGTAGTCTTGGCGCACCAAATTGGTTTCGCTGTTGATATTGGCGTCTTCTTTCAATGTCCGCCGTTCTTCTACATTCAAACTGGATTGCTAGCTCAAATAACTTTTCCAGTGTAGTCGGATTTCTTAATTCAATAAAGTCTTGCACTTGGGGCAGTAACCTCGGCAAAATCACTTGAATTATCTCAGGATCCGGACGGTTTCCATACAAGAGTTTGAAGACGTGAATTTTTCTTAAAATATAGCTTGAGAGGTTTTCGATTCTTTGTTGATATATACTGAAAAGTTCCGTTTCTAATTTCGCACAATCCCTTACAACAGGGAAGGCTTTTAGTAGGGCAGTCTTGAAATTCTCGTAAGTATAGGTGGGACTTCCTGCTTGACCCAAGAGACTTCTGCCTATACATTTGAACCAATTAAGCGCTTGGCACCTCAAAGCGCTGGTAGCTAAGGTAACTTTTTGAAATTCGTGCACGGGGTAGAGCATGAAGTGGTCATCCAATTTTTCCAAAAATCTGGTTACCGGTGAGTTTCCATTAAATATTGCTTCTGGTTTCATCGAAGCGCGCATGGTCTGGACGATGTAACCAAATCCTTCCAGGGCGGCAGCTGGCATTTCTGGATTCTGAGCCGCTTCTGCAGGCAGCACAGGTTCTTCTTGAAACTCGGCCATGGTTATTCTTCTTCGTTGGGCGCCACTATCAGGTTCAATGTTCCGTCTTACTTTCTTCGGGAACATGCAAGGAGCTGACTCGGAACAGAGAGCTTACTAAAGCTATGTTCAATCACTGTGGGAAGTAGACAGGATACACAAGAAGGGTATACAAAACCCTTTATTTTTCTCTATTTACAATAACTTCCGTACTTCGGAATACACAGACCCGCTACTTGGGGTCTAACGTAAAAATATAAAAATAAAACTAAACTCTAATTTAACTTTAAAATAATAAACGTGGAAGATTGGCCTTATATTAACAGGAAGCCGTATGTAGTACAGAGAACTGTGAACACTACAATACGTTTAAAATTATCAAGAGGATTAAAACCTCTGGCCTGGAAGGCAACCAGCAACTGAGTAAAACTTCTAAGGTAAGCGGCCTGCTTCGACTCACTGCTTCCTCTCTCTCGCTTGGCAAAAAGCCACAACTTAAATACTTGGCGTTCGCCAGACAAACTTTGCATAAATACATTAACGCTTATAATTCTGTCCGGAAGTAGAAAATAAGAAGTGATAGTAAAGATTTAAAATAAAATAAACGTTAGTAAAACTTAAGATCCTTACAATGTAACAGAAGTTGTATTACCGATTTTAAAATTATGCGGGTACAATATTTACATGATTTGTCAAAATTTCTTGAAATTTTAGTCATTTTTATGAAATCTGAATGGAAAACGGAATTACTTTGGAATCTTGTCAGCACCTTACTCACACATTTTACATATTATGACACAAAAACATTTTACATATTATGTTATATAAAATGTTTATTAAATTATTAAAGTAAACAGATTTATTAATTTATATCAACTTAATATAATACGGCAAGACAAGGTATAATACAGTCAGTCGTGTAACGAAAAGTATGTCTTGATGGCAAAACGGCCCCGTGGAAATGGCCACGGCGAATAGTCCCATTCCCTTATAGGTCGACGTTTGGACAGTCCACTTTTTAAAAGTCTAGAAGCGCAAATTCCATTGTTGATACCTCAGAAGATTTAGAAGGGATATGACTGAAGGGTATGGTCTTGATACCCGTTTCTTGGTCCCCCCCTTTTTTTTCCCAGGAAACTAATAGTGGATTTTGACGTGTGGGTGCCCGTTTTGTCTTGATGCAGTTCTATTGATTGATGGCACTGTGAGTAAAGAGAAGGTATTTCATATTTGAAAATCGGGTATCAGATATGTTCCTGATAGTATGTGGAGTTGATCTTAACATACTTTTCTACTCTCTTTATTTTTAATTTTCCGTAATATGAAAAACCAGCAATAATCATAAATCCCTTTGAAAAACGTTCTTTGAATTCTTTGAACCATTTTTTAATATTTTTTCCTCCTCATTGATGACAATAAATAGTATAATAAATGGATCTCTTTACATTGCAGTCATTTAAATACACCCAAAATTCAGCTATTGCAATGACATTTTCCCATTTTCATCCGGATAAATGTTTCCCATAAAGAAATCCGCAGCACGGTCTGTGTTCGGTGATATGTCGTGGAGAAAGACGATGCACATTATGTTTTTCCACCTTTTAAAGATTCAAATCAGCGTCAATTCACTTTGCAGGTCACGCTGAGCATTTCAATGATTTTTCAAATGTCCTTAGCGGATTTATTTTAACATTAAAGATCTTACATTAACAACATTCGAAACATTTTTTTTTTTTTTTTTTTTTTTTACTTCCTTGTACAAAGTAAAAAGGAAGTATTGTAATCGCGAAAAGTTTCAGGCAGCATATTTCAACAAAAATATCCATTTTAACCGCTATCGAATGCAATTTAACGATGTTTTTGCGTGATATCTGTACGTAAGAACAGAATAAAAGACTCTTTTTCTCCAAAAAAAATTATATGAAATGAATTCTGAAGAGAATTTTTCTTGGTGCCCGTACGTACGTACGTATGTATTTCGAATAATTCAAAAACTAAGCCTCAAAACGTTGAGATTTTGTATATAGGACTGCTATAACATGTAGATATGCACCTCGTATTTTGGTGGCAATCGGCCTCACCAAGCATATATAAATATATGTATATATATATTCACTCTGCTACCCGGCTCAGTGATCTCAGTTTCTTTACTCTTATATGCTTGTAAATTGAGCATTTTTTGCTTTTTTTTTTTTTTTTTTTTTTTTTTTTTTTTGTATGTTGTTCTTATCATCCGTTTGAGGTTTTTATGTCTTTAAGAAATCTGCAAGCAATATTTCTATAATTATGAACAATTTAAAAGCTGTTTAAGTGAGGTTAAGCCTAATTTTTAAATAACATGGCTGACATGTTTATTTACATTTGAAACAGAAGAATTGTTGCCAATCTAGAGAGACTAAGCTTCGCAACAACAAAGATAACGCCTTCATTTATTATTGCGAATGAAATCATACTGTAAGGATCTTAAGTTTTACTAACGTTTATTTTACTTTAAATCTTTACTATCACTTCTTATTTTCTCTACTCCGGCAGAATTATAAGCGTTAAGGTTTTTATGCAAAGTTTGTCTGGCGAACGCCAAGTATTTAAGTTGTGGCTTTTTGCCAAGCGAGAGAGAGGAAGCAGTGAGTCGAAGCGAAGCAGGCCGCTTACCTTAGAAGTTACGCAGTTGCTGGTTGCCTTCCAGGCTAGAGGTTTTAATCCTCTTGATAAATTTAAACGTATTGTAGTGTTCACAGTTCTCTGTACTACATACGCTTCCTGTTATTATAAGGCCAATCTTCCACGTTTATTATTTTAAAGTTAAATTAGAGTTTAGTTTTATTTTTATACTTTTACGTTTTGACCCCAAGTAGCGGGTCGGTGTATTCCGAAGTACGGAAGTCATTGTAAATAGAGAAAAATAAAGGGTTTTGTATACCCTTCTTGTGTATCTTGTTTACTTCCCACAGTTTTGAACATAGCTTTAGTAAGCTCTCTGTTCCGAGTCAGGTCCTTGTATGTTCCCGAAGAAGGTTAGAAGGAACATTGACCCTGATAATACTAAATCCTTTGTGGAAATTTTCGAGGAAATAAGTGCTTAAGATTTAATATATATATTTTGAGTTTTTATGTATTTTTGCCTTGTCACGAAGTGAGAACTGAATTAATTGAATGAAAAATACTGAATCGTCTGTGAAAAACTGTATCTTTTTTGTTTGTTTGCTTGATTTCTTTTATACGTCGTTCTAGATTTATTATAGTATTTGAATAGAACATGTGCCAACGATTAAATAATTCTTCAAATGGTATAAGTTTTGTGCATTCTGAGTTACAATATGAACTAAATATAACGCTGTTAAGCGAACGTAGCGTCAGAGTGTCGCTATGCTAAACAAATATAGTGAATTTTAAAGAGTGCATTTATTCTTTTGTGGTTTATGCGCTATCGACGAAGTAGATTCAATTCAATCCAATAAGTTTAAATGAAATGCAAGAAAAAATGCATATAATTTAATATTCCGTACAAGGAAGTCATGTGGTTGATCAGATTTTTTTTCTTCGACATTATGTGTAACAATGTTTCCACTTGAAGCCAAACTGGCGTTTTTCATTTCTTTCTTTAAATATCGTAAAAACATGGTTTTCACCGCGTTTTTTAATAACTACATACTAATAGTTATCTTTGGAAAGAGCACAAATGCAGCCTTCCATCCATTGCTTCTTTAAAACCACTATATTACATGAAAACAAAACTGTCAAGTAGTAGACGATAATTTATACTTTGAAAAATATAGTTGCAGTTTAAAAAAAAAGATTTCTAACAAATGATTCTTTTTTATAGTAAATCAAAATCGTCTACATAATGTGCGAACAGTTTCTGTATTCAGTTCGTCCTTTCAGATACTGAAGTACAGAATAAATATTAATAAAACTTTAAACGAATGATGCGAGAAAACAGAACACGCTTTTGTTTAAAAACATATGCAAAACATGCAGAGGTTATTGTCAATTTAAAAGCATCATATGGTTGTCGCATTTAAATACTTGTTGCCACTTGAAAAATGTAGAACGATGTTTTCCGTAATGCTAATACAAATTGACTACCAGAACATTCTACTTGGTTAGAGGTAGCCATTTAAAAATATATTGGTTGATAATATATCAATCAATATATTTTTATAAGTTGTAAACTGTTCAGCATAAAAATAATTCAGTTTTAATATGTTCTGAAATTTTGTATGGTTTCAGAAGAAGCCAAGATGGCGAGTTCCTCAAGATGAGTGATGGAGAAATAGACATCCGTTTGCTTGCTCTGAAGAGACAGCAGAAGAGGAAAAAAGGACAATCGAACGGCTTAGAGCATCAAGTTTTGGAGCCTGCAGTCAATTCGTATGGGAGGGTGAGAATAATTTTATTGCTGATATTTTCGGAAAATTATCCAATGAATTCAGCTTGATTTCATCACGGAAGTTGATTTAATACTTTCGTGTTTTCTTCCAGGTGAGGTCAGGACTCTCGGCTTATGAGACAACACCTCTCAAGACATACAACCCACCCAGCTCTCCTGCTAACGACAGAAAGCATTCAGGAAACCTACTTTTCGACGAAGAAACCAGAATTGGAAGGATGCACGTGCCACCTGTTGTCCAGTGCGAAGTAAGAACTGGTTTATCACAACGATCTGAGAGCGAATTCAAAACTTGATTTTAAAACTGATTCCATTTCATAATGCCTCAATTCATGTCGACTCAGTAAGGGCCAATAAGCTCGGCACTGGTCTTGAATCACTACTATAAATTTTAATTTTAGGGAGTTTATAATGAAACAGATTCGCCTGTCATACAGAGCCCTATTTCAATGAAAATCGTTAAGTGTACGAAAACTTTTGGGAGCCGCTGTATATCTAATATATATCCTAAGTCGCGCTTTTTTGTCAATCGGCCCAGTAGAACGGGAGATATAGAACTGCCCTTTTTTTTTCGCACTGTGCAAGACTTTTAAACGTCATGTACGTTCGTGCTTTGGCCATACATTTGTTTCAACCACACATCTTTCCTTATGATATTCCATTAGAATTCCTAACTATTTTTGGTTTTACGCCATTAAAAACCGTATAATAACTATCTCTTAGAATTCATACATTCAGATATAGTTTACTGTATTGACTTATTTTGTTATGTTTTCTGTACTCACAGATAAACTTTTGTTCATTTTTTCTGCCAATTTAAGTGCTGTGATGATATCAATCTCGGTACTTTTAGAATAGCATTTAAATTCGATTAAAAATGTGTGCTGCATGTCGTATAAAACGTTTTCTCTTGATTTTTCAGGTACCCTCAGATAATAGTGAATTTGTAAAGTTTATCTTTATGAGTGTTAAGCAGGATTTGTTGTACGTTATTGTACATACATCCTGTATTAGCATAAGCAAAACGTATACGCCAGATTTAAGTTGAATATCTGGTAAAAATGCTAATTTTTTACCCTTCTTTTGGTAATTAAAAATTGGGAAAGAAAAAAAGGAAGAAAGAAACGCAGAGTCAGTACATATCAAGAGCAAATGACTTAATCTCTTGTTCTTTAGAATCAAATTATTTTATCGAAACGTCATATATAGAAACGTATAACTGGAATTTCGTATTGAACTCAGTGGAGGTATTACTCCCCCGGTTGCATATTTCACAAGTGCACATCAGTGTAGCCACTAAGGGAGGGGTTTCGAAAATAGACCAATGAGCTTCTATCGCGGAAGTTGTGACGCTAAATTTTCATGCATGTGAGCTAAGTTTACGTTTTAATTTGCAATTGTTTTGCAGTTATAAATGTGTGGTGTAATAGTAGAAAATCTCGTAGTTCTTTCGCTGAGTTTAATTAATTAATCGCTGACATTTCATTTTCGCGATTTGTATAACGCATTATATTTGGCTTGATATTTACGGCATATTATCGCTCTTTACATCGAAAAAATGACTCAAGCTACAACTAGTGTTGAATATTATGCATTTACTACCTGTGGATTAAGAGAATTCAAACATATATATATATAATTGAGCTGCGAAGGACTGGAAGTGTTACAATGAATGTAATGTTTTCTTAATTCAGTGCTTGCATTCTTTTGGTTTTTAAAGTGTAAGATTCAGAATATATATTGTGTTGGATCTGATTATATCTATTGTTAACATTAAAAGTTACATGTGAATAAATTTAATATATTCGTTGTGAATAAAATAAATTCATTCTGTTTGATGAGTATTTCTTGTGTAAACAGTACATTTAAGAGTGAGCAGTTAACACACTAAATGAATACGAATGCAAATTAGTAAAGTTCACTTTGAATAAATTTCTGCATTGGTTATTATTATGGAACATCTTTTTCATATAGACTGCAATAAAAAGTGCTTATTTACATATATAATTGGTGTAAATATTGTTCTCGCATGCGTACTTTTATGTAAAGATAGCATTTGGGCTCAGATGTTTATTACATATTTCTTTCTTCATTTTATTTACCACTTATTAAATAATATTTCACATGGATACTTTTGTAATTTTGTCTTCTGTAAAATTATTGAATGTATTGTTTTATGGCTCAAAGTTCATTCTACAATATAAATTCAGAAACTGCTTGATTGAAAGAATGTATTCTGTTTTGCAGTGTAACGGACTCGAAACCTATGCGTTGATAAGCACGTCTGATCCAGTTTCAACTATTTCAATAGATTTGGTGCGGAAACTCAGGTAAACTAAAACTTTCTTTCCTAAAAGTTTTCTGTATTTCATTTCCTGTAAAACGGTACCTAATGGGAACAAGCTGAGAAATCGTGCAGATACAGAGGTTTGTTCGTACATTTTTTAGACTACTTTCATTGCATTTACAGAAATATTTTACCTAAAATTTTTGCTTTTTTAATGTTCCATTTGATGATCCTTATTCTTCCCTATCTTTCTACACTCGTAATTTCCCAGACAATGAAGACTTTTTTAGTACTGAAAGAGCTATTTTATCCCGTTCCTCTTAAACATCTTTCCAAACTCCAAAGAAGGTTGTAGGCGGACGTTTAGGCAATTCGCTTTCAAGAAGTATAAAAGCGCAAAAATCCAACGATGATACGTTAAAAGATTTAGTAGGAATATGAGTGAAGGGTTATGGCTTTGATATCTCTTTCTTGTTCCCTTTTTTCCAGGAAATTAACTGTGGATTTTGACGAGCGGCTGCTTGCTTTGTCTTGCAGTTCTACGGATTGATTAAGTGGTCTGTGGGTAAAGAGAATTTATTTCATATTTTGAAAACTGGGTATAAAATATGTTCCTGATAATATGAGTAATTTACCTAGACAGTTTTTTGCACTCTAATTTTTATTTGTCGTTATCTCAAAAACTAGCAATAATCATAAATCCCTTCGAAAAACTTTCTTTGGATTCTTTGAATCATTTATGCGCTAAGATTTTTTTTCTTTTCTTTGACGATTATAAATGGATCTCTTCTATCCCGTTCATTTAAATATACCAGAGATTCATTTATTTATTGTGACATATATATTGATTCATTTATTGTGACAACCTTTTTTCCATTTTTGTTTGAATATTTTTTTCTGATATAGAATTCTGCACAGTTTTTACTTTAGGCGATATGTCGTGCAGAAAACGACGCACATTACGTTTTTCCGCCTTTATTACACGTTACGTTTTCCTTTAAGATTCAAATCAGCATTGATCACTTTGTTTAGAGTTGACACTGAGCATTTTAATAATTATGCAATTATTCCTTTCACTTCGCAGATCATTTAACACTAAAGTTCTTACCTTTTCAACATTCGGAAGATTCCGTTTTTTCCTTGGATATGTATTTTGAACCATTTTTCTCCTTTAAGCCAAACTTTAGACTTTTTTCCCCTTTTGTTATTGACAATACTATCTATCGTTGATTTAGATGCTGAAAAATCATAGCTTTCACAGCATTTTTAATAACTAAATAATAATACGAATAAATTTTCTCCATTCGGTAATGTTCTATAAAAGAACAATTATGAAAACTTTATGCCAGAATTATCTCTCAGAAAATGTTTGGTTATCAAGCGGGGAGGGCCATTTTCAATTAAATAATCTGCAATTTTTATAGAAATTGTATCAGGCAAGGTAGCTGGATCGTTTAAATTCAAAGTCAAAATCTTCCTTTTGATGATTACTCGGGGAATTTCCTACGTTAACATCTAAGTTTTCTATTGGTACAAATCGTGATTTCTTCTTGATCCTATTCTGATGAATTTACATTTTGAGATAAATTTTCATTATGAAATTTTAAACCAGATGTTGATGTTGACGGTCTTAGTTCAATTGCTTGTCCGTCTAATCCAGGGGCGTAGCTAAGGTTTTAAGCGCCCGGGCACACCTAAAGATTTTGTGCCAATTTCCGTGCTCCAAGAATGGAAAACATTTCATTCTGAAATGTGTATCATCAATTTGGCGCCCTCCGGTTGCTGCGCCCGGGGACGGATGTTCCCTCCCTTGCCTCAGCTCTACACAACTGGTCTAATACTGTTGTGTTTCTAATCCTATTGTTTATTTAGAGATCTCGCCAGTTTCTGATTAGCTTCCTCTCGTTGCAATTTCCTTTTTCTATTTTGTGTTCCAGACTTTTTTTTTTTTTTTTTTGAGAACATGTTTCTAAAAAACATTTATTGCACTAAATAAAAAAAAATTCATTTTCATTCCATATACAAAATGCATCATATGATTTTCTCTCAGTATACTATTTGAAAGTCGAAAGCCCATTTATGTCATTTGCAACTAAATAAAGATTCAGATAAAGAAACTAATTTGACTAAAGATTTAGAAACAATTATTATTATTATTATTTTAACGGAAAATTTATTTTTAAGAATTTAGTATAAAATGTTTTCTTCTTTCTGCTGATTCAAAATATTTAAGTAAATTAAACCAATATTAATACAAATTACTAAAACGCATTTTTTATAAGCAATTGAAATACTGAAAACAACTCAGGTACATAATAATTATAAACCAGTAATGAAAAAGAGCTATAATCATTAGTAATTTTTTAAGATTTTTTTTCGATTATTTGGAAATTGTAATTATATATCAGAAATAGATAAATCAAATTCTGCCCAATTAAGGGTAAGATTTATTTGGGTTTTATAGAGCAAAATAAAAAGTTGCTTTTTGAATTATTTTGTTAATTTGAAAGATAAAAAAGTTTTTCTTAATGAATTGTTTCTTTTTATGAATCTTTACTATTATGAAAATAATACTAATAATATATTTAGTTGTTCACTTACCTCTAAATAGTAATCCTGTTTTTTTTAGAGCAATTATAAACAAAAAAAGATTTGAAAACAATTAATCACAGTACTTTGCTTGCGAAGCAATTCACAGAATGTACGCACTTTATTAGCAGCGACTACATATAGGATTAAAAATAAGGGTTAATTCAAGGGTATGCGCCACCGTACGTAAAGGCCCTTGAATGTAGAATCAGTATTCCGCAATCCGCCACGTGGCCTTTTTTGAGTAACTGGTAAACTAGAACCTGCAATAGGTATCTGGTTTACCTCACTAAAGTTTTTCAGAAATGACAGCCACTTGAGAGGGTCCAGCGAGAACCCATGGCTGAGTAGTCTTACCGCATGAAAAAATAACAAAAAATACTAATTAAACACACAAAACAAAGAAAAAGTAGAAAATAGAAAATAACAAAATACATGTGCCCTTAAAGTGTAAATGGCGACTTTTGGTTGCCACATTTAAAAAATGTATGTATATTATCATTGAAAGAAAAAAAAAAAAAAAAGCAAACTAAACAATGACGTTGATGGGCAACAACTTCTCAGCACATAAAGAATAAATATATGCCGATACAAAATTCCCATTCCCATTGTTATTTTTTGTTTTTTTTTTTTTTTGTTGTTTTTTTTTTTTTTTTGTTTTTTTTTTTTTGTTTTTTTTTTTTTTTGTTTTTTTTTCTTTTTTTTTTTTTTTTTTTTTTTTTTGGTTTTTTTTTTTTTTTTGTTTGTTTTTTTTTTGTTTTTTTGTTTTTTTTGTGTTTCTGTTGTTACATGTTACAAATTCTTAGATTTTTAAGTACCATAATTCCGTGTGGTAGCGCGAAATCCACACGGAAAATGTTTTTATTGTTCATATCGGCAATCAAATTTTGTTTTACACAAACGAAAACAAAAGTAAAATAAAATTAAAATAAAAATAAAATCTCATTTTATTGCTTAGAAAACATGCAAAATTGCAAGCGTATAATTAACAACTTTTATTTAATTTCTTTTTACTTTTATTTATTTTTACTCTTAACTTTTTATTATTTATTTGACTTTAGATTATTAACAACTTTTATTTTTGTTACCAACTAGTAAGATTAAATTAAAAATATTCAGAAGTATATTCAATTAATTCAGTTATTTATTCACTTCGCGGTGAGGCACAAATACATAACACCTTAAAATATCTTCATTAAAAATTGAAAAATAAAAAAAAAAACACCATGAAAACAATTAAAAAAAATTTTTACAATTAAAATTAGAGCTTTCTACACAAAAACAAGCAGTTTCGTCAGCAGGCAAGAAGGAGATTTTTCGGTGCGCAAAACTGAAAGTTTCCTTTTCCTCCCCCTTGGCAAAAAGACACTGATGGTGCAGAAACTGACTTCATTCACTATTCTGCTCAGTTTCAAATATGAACAAATACGGCTGCTATGGTTAAAAAAAAACTTTGGTTTAGCCGCCCTTAAACAACTCTTAAATTGTTGATAATTCTACAACTATTGCATGCAGATTAACCACAGGCATAAAAACCTTAACCGGAACATACTAGCAACATGATTCAATCATTTTTAAAGCAAAAGTGCACAATTTACCAACATATAAGAATAAAAGAAAACTGACCTCACCGAGCCGAGTAATAGAGTGGGTATATATACATATACTTTTGATGAAGCAGATTGCAACCAAAAAAGAAAGGCACATCTACATGTTATAGCAGTCCTATATACAAAATTTAGGTACTTACGTACAGACGTGATGAAAAAAATCTCTTCTGAATCTATTTTAAATCAATTTTAAGCTAATCCGATCTCACTGCAAATTCGCTAACAGTCAACAAAACAGTTATGTAAGCAACTGAACTGAGCCGGCGTTACTCCGGCGTTTTCAACTTCTTAATCGTGCACCACAAGGTTCTGATTTCTGTAAAGCAAAAGATTAGAATTACGGTCACAGCTAACACAGTAGTCAATTACATTTATTCAGTTTAAATATAATCGTAAATTACCAGATATCTTAATAGATATCTGTTAATTTACATTCCGCGAGCTCCAGTATTTTTACTTTTTCAACGTATCTTCTCTTAAAACTCGTCATGCGCTGCATTACACGGGGACATAAAACGATTTTAATTACAATTCTACTAAAAATTGCTAATTAAATACAAAATCTGGAACAATATATTCCTTATTCTCTCCAGATTTAGGTGTCATATATTATTGTGTTGTCCTATTATGTATTATAGTTCTTATGTATTGCTGTGGTATTTACTTACTTCTGCAAGCTTCATGACCTATCTGGTGGGACAAGTGAGGTTTTGCATTTCTTTTCTTAAATAACAATAACAACAATAAACTAATAATGGTTATAAAAAGGTAAAAGTAGTTGTGTCAGGAGGAGTGAGTCCAAGAGCAGGCAGATAAACCGCCAGCTCAGCGGCAACAGGAAAAAAAAAAAAAAAAAACTTAATAAACTCTCTGATGCGAAGTTACAATCTAAATCCTTTCCGACTTTTTCTTTTTCCTTTTTTTTTAATCGTACGTTCTTGTTTTCAGTGCTGTGTTATTTTACATAGCCAAATAAACTTGTCTACAAATTAAATTGCTTCAAAACATAGCTAAAATATTAATTGTGATTTTTTTTAATTATAACACATTTTATTCTGCTTTCCTGCATTTTAAATTGCAGCTTAGTCAGTAGCGGATTAGCTTAGCCAATTTTAAGGCTCTCTCTTAGTCATTTTGAATATATATATATATATATATTCACTCTGTTACTCGGCTCAGTGAGCTCATTTTTTTATTCTTATTTTTTTGTAAATTGTGCATTTTTTTTGCTTTAAAAAGGATTGAGTTACGTTGTTCTGGTTAAGATTTTATGCCTGAATGCAATAATTGTGGAATTATCAATATTTTAAAAGTTGTTTAAGTGTGGCTAAGCCTAATTTTTATTTAAAATAGAGCCATATTTGTTTACATATGAAACTTAGCAGAATAGTGAATTAAGCTAGTTTCTGCACTTTCAATGTTTCTTTTTTTTTCCCGAGTGGGACCAAAAGTAAACCTTCAATTTTGTGCACCGAAAAATCTGCCTTCTTGCCTGTTGGCCAAATTACTTGTTTTTGCGTAAAAACTTTAATTTTAATTGTAGAAATTGTTTTTTAATTATTTAACTGTATTTGGTGTTTTTTTATATCTCTCAAATTTTAAGGAAGTTATTTCGTGTTTTTATATTTCTTTGCCGTGCCGCGAATTGAGAACTGAATTAATTGAATGAGAAATATATCTGTAATTAATTTCCAGGAAATAAGCTTAAATGAAAGGCAGCAAAAAAATGCGTATAATTTAATTCCGTACAAGGAAGTCATGTGGTTTCCGCATCAGATTTTTTAGAAAAATATGCCGGCCAAGTCTTCAGTAACATAATAAAAGACAAACATTGATTAGTCCAAACAAACACTGATTATTTGTGCTTTTTCATTACAGACTTCTGGATCAGGTTATTCCAGAGCCTATGAACGCACATGGCCTCTTCTCTTTACATGGCTTGGACGTGAAAGGAAGGGTGAAGTACATCGATCTCACTTTAGGATCTTGGCAACAAGTTGCTCAATTCAATATCGGTGAGCTAGTATTCATATTCAGTCAAATAAAATCGTTCCAGATCACTTTCAATTCGATATGCAGAATATATCAGATATATATGTTACCGGCAAAGTATGAAATAAAAGAATTATTACATACTTTACCTAGGCATTGTATAGAATGGCAAATGCTCTTTAGGCAAAGCATGAAAAAAAGGTTATAATAAGGCTATTATTTAAAAAGACGTTCATTCCTCAAAATTGCAAATGTTATTTTGAAAAATTAATGAAAGAGTACCATTAAAAACGTTATTCGAAATATGTGAAAAAAAGATAGTATGGTGATATTGATACAGCATAATAAATTTGTATTTTCTATCTGGTTGAGACTGGTAATCAGTAAGATACACCTGACACTGGAAATTAAATTCGGAAACAATCATAAGTTTCACAATACTTCTTTTTAATACCTTTTTGCTTTTTCGGACAGGGCTCACAAAGGCCGTCGTAATATACGTAATAACGTATAACGTACTAACAACCGTAATATACGTGTAACGTTTTTGTATTTGGTTGAAACTGCTTTCAACATTCTGTCACGTCGTCCGTGTCCAGTACTGAAATGAGTTTTCATCGAGTACGAGAAATAACTCGGCGTCCGTGACGTAATACTGTATAGTATTGACGCTTTCTGTAACAGGATAAATGAATGTAATTTTATTTTCCAAGCATCACATCCTAGCGATTTAACAGTCAGTAGTCCCGTGGTACCTTCTTAGTACTCATTTTGGCCTTTTTACATCATTTATTATCTTCTGGTAAGTAGTTTCGGTTTTTCGAAACGAATCGGAAATGTATTTTATACTTTGCCGGTTTGTCATTTGGCATTCTATAGAATGCCTAGGAAATGTGTGAAATATGAATCGTTTCCTATACATTGCTGGCTAGTTTTAAGCATTATATACAATGCGTAGGCACGAAATTCATACATTGCCGGTAACAAATAAATTACTAACCTGGATTGCAGAGGATACAAAAATAAAACATATATAACAGGGTTAGATTTAAAATGGTGAAAAGTGTCTGTATGTCATTACTCATTTACAGGGTGGGCCAAATAAGACCAACCAATGTTAAACACAAATAACTTTTTTATTTTTTTATATAAATATTTTTTTCTTTTTGTAGCTTATAAGGTATTTCTTCCACTTTCCTAGCGTGCCTTCGTATAGTGGTTCTGCACACTGGGCCGGTATTCCAGAGGTCCGTGGTTGGATTCCCGGCGAAGGTGGTTGTTATTTTTTCATCTCTCTGGCTTTTCCAAATAACCTAATGTCTCTACAGTGGCGACCCGATCTAAAAAAGGTGTTGGATGAGGATTCTCCACACACAGGATTTGGCGATTGGGTCCCCTGAAAACCCCAATCGCCCTTTAAAACGGGGAGTATATAAGGTATTTCTTTCACTTTCCTAGCGTGCCTTCGTGTAGTGGTTCTGCACACTGGGCCGGTATTCCAGAGGTCCGTGGTTTGATTCCCGGCGAAGGCGGTTGCTAATTTTTCATCTCTCTTGCTTCCAAAAAAATCCTAATTTCTCTACAAGGTTATAATTGAATTCTTGGAAATTTATTATGGAACGTTACAGTACAAAACAACGTGTTAAAATTATCGAATTTTTTCTATTCTTTTCAACGATAAATTGTTATGACACAGCGTAAATATCGGCAATATTTTAATTCAAGCGTACTGTTTGGTGCGGTGTTATGGACGATTTCCGGAGCTTCTTACAGAACAATGATTGAAAACTTTTTGCGGCCAATGGTAGAGCAGAATCTTTTTTTTTTTTTTTTTTTTTTTTTTTTTATGGGGATATTTAGAAGACAAAGTGCGTGTTAATAAACTAGAGATTATTAGGCAACTGAAGCAGAATATTTGAGACGAAATACTGAGCCTTTAACCAGAAACATTACGTGGTGTGTCTAGTCTAGTCTGCACGGATATTGCCGAAGTGTCGCGCAGCTTATCCGGCTCTTGAAAATTAAGCCCGAAGGGCGCATGACTGAATTTTTCATGACAAGTTTCAAGGAGGTCAAAGGTGGTTACAGGGGGCGACCATGAGTCGCAAAGCCAAAGAGTGGCGCGCGCATCAAGAAATTTGCAAAGCAGGAGCCGTGAGGATCTGTATGATATGTTTGTGTTGTACCATAAAAGAAGACACACACAGGATCCAATAGATTCAATCATGACATCTGAATTAAAATATATCATAACAATTAAATATAAGCATACATAATTACATAAAAACAAGTGAAAAGAACATACAAACTAAGCATACAAATAATAAATGAGAAGTAAAATAAAATACACTATATACAATATATACAGGCACGTGCATTCCCATCATGATATTTTACGTGGGAAAATTTAAGTCCCTGGCGAGGTGGGCCGCGAGTGGACGTAAGTGCATGCATCTTCTTCTAGAATTACATAATTCAAGACATTAAGGTCTGTCATGTGATTACATTCTTGAGCCTTTGTTAAAGAATTTAACATTGGCCTTATGCAAGATACATTTCTACATGGAATTCCATTTTAAGGATCACGATGTAGGGTCTGATTGGAGACATAATAATGGGCGTTGGTTATCATCCTTAAGTACATTTGTTTTGAGTAATTTGAAGCTTGCTTCAACTCCTTTTTCTGAACTGTTGCCCAAGCGGGAGATGCGTACGCAAAAATAGGCCGAATTATGGAAGTTGTAGATGTGTCTTCTTCCTCTTCATATCTAATCTGGAGGTCGCAGACAGAAGTGGCGTAAGACTTTGAATTACTCAATAGTCTTACCTCTGACACATTTTAAATGCTCTTTCCAAAGGAAATTAGCACTATATTTTAAACCTAAGTAAGTAGCAGTTTTTACAACTGGTACAACAGTATCAAATAACAACAGTTGTGCAGTTAATGGGTGATTCATTTTATTCTTTTTAAAAATCATAAGCTTAGATTTATCCGCATTAATTGCAATTTTCCAATTGGCACACCAGCTTCAAGTTTCGGCATAAATTTATGAAGTTCTTTAATCGGCAAAATTTGGCGACCCAGACTTGACAGCAAAGACTGTGTCGTCTGCATAGCAACCCATGAAGAAGTTTTGATCCTAGATGTTCTGCAGGTAGGATCTGCCTACGTAGAATAAGTAGAGCACGGGACCCTAAAATAGACCCCTGCGGGACTCCGGCCTTCACATGCTTCTTATTTGAAATACTTTCACCAATTCGAATAACTGAATATCCTGTTGGACAGAAAACGAGTGGATAATTTTTATCAACTCGCTGCTGAATTTTGCAAGTTGATTAACTTGTAAATTAAGCCCCTCATGCCAGACGCGGTCGAATGCCTTCACCACGTCCTAGCATGAGTAAGGCAACATATCTTTTGTTGTGCAGTGCACTTCCTATGAACTCATTAAGTCTAACCAGTTGCTTCTTCGTGGATAGGGCTTTCCTGAATCCAAACTGTTCAAGTGGTAATTTATCCAGGTGTGGTTGAATTCTGCTAAGGACAATTCTTTCAAGTATTTTTCCCATACTGGGCAGCAGGCTAATGGGCCTGTACCCATCCGTTTTTGTCAGATTCTTTCCCGGCTTTGGGATCACTATCATTTTAGCAGACTTCCATATCTTCGGAAAATAACTATTGTACAGGCAAGCATTCAGAATACCTGTAAGTCGATTAATCATATTTATTGGCAGCCATTTCAGTGCTAATTATTAACATTATCCTGCCCGGGGGCCTTCTATTCCTGATCTTTTTAATTATATTCATGATTTCTTGTGGTGAGGTAAGTTCTAAGTGATTTTGCAGGTTATTTTGCAAAGCCATTCTGACACTGTGGAGTTCACATGAGTTGTAAAATCCTGATTGCAGGGGTAAGTGTTTGTGATGAATTGTTTTTCAAAGTGCTCAGCGAGCGTATTGCATTTTTCAATATTTGTGAGCGCAATGCCATGCTCGTGGTAAATCGGCCTATTAACTGTGGGTTTATTTTTAAGACGTTTTACAAACGACCAGAATGAGCTACTAGGCTCGTTAAAACTCTCAATTTTCTCATCCCAGAGCTCTTTACGGTGGGAGTTTATCTGTTTTTTAATTTCCTTACCAAGTCTATTCATCTCTTTTTTGGTATCAGGATTGCAAGTGAGATGATACCTTTTTCTGAGCTTATTTCGATGGAAAACGTGTTAAAAAGAGCCAATCTCTGTATCGAGAAAAATGGTGGACATTTGTTTGATGTCATTTTTCATACATAATTTCCATAAAATATATTTAATGTATAAAAACAATAATCAAAATAAATGATTATTAGAAGAGTTATCCGTGTTTAATATTAGTAGGTCTTATTTGGCTCTATATAATCGTTCCCCATATTTATCAGTTTAGTTTAATTAACCAGTTAACTGTGATTGACGAGTATATGGAGAAGCGGCACGATTTTGTGTATTGACGAGTATACTCGTCATGCGTATAACGCAGTGTAAGCAACGCGCGTATAAAGTAACGTAATAGAAACAGAGAAAAAAAAATAATAACAAAGAAACCGGAACTAGTGATTGATTATAATAAAAAAAATGGGTGGAGTGGATATGAGCGATGAAATTATCATAGCGTACTCCACAGCAAGAAAACGACTCAAAAAGTACTACAAAAAGATATTTCTCCATTTCTTAGACATTATGTGTCTGAATGCATTCATATTATATATAAAAAGAAATAATGGAACACTATCGCGTATCAACTTTTTGCTCTCCAATTGAAAGAAATAATTCGACACAAACTCGGCCATTTAGACCTAATATAAACCAATGAGGAGAGAATCATGTTCCGGATTATATGCCGGGAACATCGGAAAAAAAATAACCCTACGCAGAGGTGTTCGCATTGCTACAAATGTAAGATCAGAAACGAATCGCGTTACTGGTGTTCGATTTGCAAAGTCCCAGCCTATTTCGCTGAATATTAATTACTCCACAGCAGGAATTTAAATTCTTACTTTTATATGTATAATATTTAATTTAATTGATTGCGTTTTTAGTTTAATATGTATGTAATATATGCTTATGTTAACCAAATAAGTAAATATTTGTAATCCCATCTTTTTCATCCAATATCTTACCAGCGCAACTTATTCTGTGATGGACGAATAGACTCGTCATGGCTCGATTTTGGCGACACAAAACGGTACGCACTCTTAAACGAGGGCGCCACAGTTAACTGGTTAAGGCAAAGCACTCGAGGGCTTTCTGCCTAAGTGGAGGGATGCCTTCAAAGAGGACTTTCTGACGGAAACGGCTCGTATACACGCTACGCATGGGTAAAACCACGAAAACGACCATGCAGCCATGTATGACTGCAGTCGAACCTACGTCAAAACTACCAGTGTTAAGCGATTTTACCGCTCGGCTGGTGGGTGCGACATGTGTGTTAAGATTATACTTTGTAAAACATTTAATTTTATATAAAAGTACAGGAAAAAATATTTTGTGAATTCCTGAGATGGCTTTCACAAGAAAATTGCATAACGAAATTCCTAACAGTGTAAACAAAGTTAAAGTCAGTACAGTAAGTGAACAACTCTCATGTTTAAATCATCAAAAAGAATATTTCCAAAAGTCTTTTATAAATATCACATAAGAGAAGAATTTAACAAAAGTGGCATCACTATAATATTGTCTTAAGCTTATATTTCTGTGTGTGAAATTTAATTGCATTACTGAAAAGATATTTGCTTTTCCTATCTAGTGGAACATTACATCTGTGATGTCACTTTGGGGACAGATTTCCTTCGAAAGACACAGGTAAGTAAAATATATATGCAATTAATTTTATAGATGATTTTATAGTCTTTAAATGATCGGTTATCGTTTAGCCTTCGCAGTCATGACCGTAGCACGAAAACGCGTCGTGTTGTCTTAACCGCTGGATTTACTTGATAGAATGATATGAACTGTGAAGGCTTTTTAGCCCTAAGGGACATTAGACCCAAAGGGCTATTAGTCTCAAAACGGCATTTTGCGTCGTTTCACTGTCTACGTTGGTTCACTTTACAAACTATTGTCACTGTGATAAGGTGACATAAAGGTTCTTTGTCTAGGATGAGTTTTCAGAGTGCAATAGTTTTCATATCCGTGGTGAAATCTTGTCCCTTTGTTAACGATTCCGGTTGCAGCCTCGAAGATCGCTCCAGTGGACAAAGAGGTAAAAGAGAAGTCGTGTTGGTGGTGAAGTCTTTTCATCAGAGTCAGGAAATGGACATTTTGTTAGGTATGAGTGAAAGAATCTTCCACCCCTGGGAGTTCACCGCAAAGGGGAGGTAAACACAGGGAGATATATAAGGGGGTTTCCTGAGAAGAGAGAACAACTTGATTGATGACATTCGCGTCATGGACGCCAAGAACGACAGACATGCGAGCTCAGAGCTCCGCAATGCGAAAACGGATACCACGAATACGGCGCCGCCAGCAGGCAATCCCTCGACTTCGCAACCTTTGCAAGTACTTACAGATATGGACACTACGAACTCAACTCCTCCTGCTTCTCCTTCAGCTCAAGAACTTTCAAAAAGCGCACTTCAAATATACGCTCTAAAGACCCGGCACACTGATCTTCTATTCGACATCCAGCGTCTACAAAGATCTGAAACTCCCAACAAGGACCTGATGATGAAACAACTACAGGATGAGGGTGAGAAAATTTTATTTTCCTTACACACACTTTGCACCCGCCTCAACATTAACCTCTTCACCCTACCGGCAACTGAAGATGAATTTATTAAGGAATTTCAAAAAACCACCAAAGCCTCTGAACCTGAAAACAATAATCCAAAATCTACCTCACCCTCATCCTCAGACCCACCCAAAGAAACTTCTCAGACTGATACCAAAAAAAGATCCAGGCCAGTCGACAGTGACGGCTTTGCAATCCCCCCTAAACACTTGATTGCAAAGAAACTACCCAACACTAAAGAAAACTCTAACAACATTACAATTACAAATTCTTACACTAACATTCAAAACGTCTCAGAAAACACAGAAAACTTAACGCAGCAGCCGGCTGAAACTACAACACCTAAAACTCAAACACCACCACCCATCTTCATTAAACCGCGTGCTGATTGGTTCTTTTTACTAAATCAGCTACGCAGACACGCACCGACTGTCCAATCCAAACAAGACATCGAATTTCTACGCCTCACCACCACTAACGAAACAGATTATAGGACAGTCGTTAGATTTCTCACCGAAAACAACATTCAATTTAAGTCACACACACTAAAATCGGACAGACCACTCAAAGTGGTCATTAGGGGATTACCCTCCAACACACCGATCAACGTTGTGCAGACTGCGGTCGAAGTACTTGGTTTTAAAATCCATAAGATATCGCAGCTGAAAAAATTCAAGACAAAAATGCCTATGCCTCTATTCTATCTCCAAATTCTATAACAGCCTCAAAGCATCAGGAAATCTACTTCAGTGCACCGAACTCCTTGGCACAGAAGTTGGTGATGGAACATTTCAAAGGGCAGAAAGGTCCCTCACAATGCTGGCGTTGCCATGGGATTCTTTCCATTCCTTCCGAAGGTATGCACGTTACTCCCGAGACGATGTGTCAGATGCGCTGGTCCGCATCAAGGCCAAAGGACTGCTCCAAGCCCTTCGAAGAACCCAACAAATGTGCCAAACTGTTCCGGAAAGCCACGCAGCAAACTGGAGATCCTGTCCGAAGATTTCCCAGGATCCAAAAATAGGCCAACCACCAAAACCAAGCACCAAAGCCCAGTCAGACCGTTGGCAAACACGAACAATACTACTTTCAATAAACAACACAATTCATTTCCAACACTGCCGGCTGCACCACACTCCCAGTGCAAATAATACTCGTCCTGGAGTATCCTACTCTGCTGCCCTTACGGGTATGCAACAGACTGCACCCCCACTTATTCCAAATTTATCGGTCCCCCACTGGAGTAAATTCGAATCTAAATTGCACCGAAATCCTTTTGGCTATAATCCAAATTTCTAACCAGCCTGGTATTGACCAGAGCAATTACTTTTGGCATTCAAAAACGGCCTTACCGCAGCTCAGAGTGGCTCCATCTGGTGCTGACGCGGCCTACTACATCTTTGAGAGCTATGTCACTCTCCAATTCTCTGATTCCCACATCCATTAAAATTCAATACTTTGAAAGGGTTGAAAAATCTTAAACTATGCACCTGGAATGCTAATGGCATTCTTTCCAAATTTCATGAGTTTAGAGACTATGTAGAAGAGAAGGATTTTGATATCATTTTTGTCCAAGAGACCAAACTCCAGCCAGGGAGAGCTCCCAAGCTTGTAAATTATGCACTTTATAAAAATGACAGACAAGCTTCGAATACACGTGATGTTTATCATGGTGGCACTTGTATTTACATAAAAAATTCAATCCCGCGTCGCAGAATTGACACTCCAAATATGAGCAAAACTTGAAGCAACAATTATTGAAATTTTTTTATTCAAAATTCGCCATCCCTAGTCATGATCTCTGCCTATCTTCCACCAGGTGGAAATTTTCCTGTGGTCGATTTTAATAAACTGCTCAATTTTTCAAATAATCTTATCATAGCTGGTGATTTAAATTGTCACCACCAGCATTGGCGTTGCCATAGATCAAACCCTGCTGGTCGTGGCCTCCTAAAATGGGCTCAGTGCGCCCAAATTAAAATCATTGCCGGATTCCCCCACTAGATATGGTTTCACGGGGTGCCCCCTCTTTTTATTGATTTGGCACTCTTTAGAAACATCCCTTTGGATATCAAGTGACTGTTGAAAATTGTTTATCATCA